TTTAACTGCCATCTAGAGTTAAAATGAATCCATTTCTTTTTCCCTTCACTACCCTTCTTCAAAATTTTAGGCCAACATGTTTAATCCCTATTTCATGTCAAAAAATATTCTTCAAATAACAAAACTGTAAAATACTTAAGTATCCAATTTTTCAAAGTACTGTTAACATCTGTACCAGCCACAAATAGTTTACGTGGACTAAAAAGTGAGGCTTACATTTAATCTAATTAAAACATTACTTTTGACTGTATGAACAAAGCAGTGAGCAGTTAATACACATTTGGACTTAAAGATATACATTAAAAACGTCAAGGAAATTAATTTTCAGTCTATTCCTATAGCCTCCTATTTGTATTTTTTTTTCAGCGCCCAAGAAAAGCAGACTTACATGTAAAGCTATTCAAAAGTTATTTCATTTTTTTACACCTGAAAAATCTGATTATGCAAATTAGTCAAGAATCAAGTGCATACTTAATTAACGTTTTTAATATTCTTATGTTAAAAGTGGCATTCGTTTCCAAATCTGAGGTTTGGAAGAATAAACCATCAGTAAATTGCTCAGCTCTTGTAAGAAAGTCATTACTGAAAAGCAATGCCAAAGAGGTAATTAAGAGAAAAATAAAATCATATTTGAAAATAAGACCTGCTACTCTAGCAAAAAAAGAAATGCATTCACCCGAAATGTTTAAAAAAAAAACCAAACTAGATAAAACATTTTCTCACAGTGTTCATATATACATGACAGATATGGGTGTTTTTTTTTTTAAAAAGTATCTGTCCCAAACGCATTAAACCATAACAGCCTTTGCTGACAATATTTTTACACATCATTAGATCCTGAAACAAAGATGGTGCAACGCAGTAAAACTGCAACTCTTATTCTTCCAAAGGAAAGTATAGAAAAGCTTTCAAGGGGATGCAGATAGCAAACAATAACAATGAAAAACTGGTGCAAAGAGCCTTGAATGTTTTCCATAAACACAGCTGCACCGCATCACACAAAGACGGGACTGGCAGAATCAGTGCTTACCAGGTAGGCAAGTATGCATTTAAGAAGGTTTTTAACTAAGTCCTCAAGAGTGAACTAATGATAAAGTTACAGGATTTGTGAGAGCAAAACAGTAGGCAAACGGAGAAAATAAATAGGCAGGAAAGCTGTGAAACAGAAAATTCCTGCTTCAAGAAAAACCTGAGTTAAGAGTTACAGTGAAACTAGTGAATGAATTGAAAATCAAGGAGACAAGATATATAGATAGACAGACAGATCTTTATAAATTATACACAGCTTGAAGTGTGTCAGTTTAAGACAGAAGGACTGGATGCGTTTTAAATGACTAAAACTTGGGAAGTAACAAGTATATATGTGTGTGTATATATATATGTCTATGTATACAACATACAAAGGATTTGCTAAGAATTACCATGTGTGCTGTCAACTTTAAAATTCTAATGCTTCCTCAGATAAATTTTAGAACGGGTGAGGTTTTTAGTTTGTCCCCCTAGAAGGAAAAGGCATATGCAAATTGTCACTGGAAATTTCTAGAATTGAGCATAATTTTGTCAGCATGGCTTTGTTCTCTCAGTCAAGAATGTTTACAATGTCGGCACCAGCTGTGACAATGTTTCCTCTATTGCAGAGTTTTATCTGATTTTATTTGATTGGACCTAGACTGATAGCTGAGTCTTTGACCAAAGATCCCAAAGAGGTATCTGGTTGTAAAGTCTCTCTGGCCAAAATCCATCAGGGGCCAATTTAAAGCATTTCAGATATATTCTGAGTGTAGAATATTTTTCCATAGTAAAATGGACAGTCCACAGCTATGGAAAAAGGTAAAATTCTAATGATTTTATTTCAAAGTGAAAAGTAGAAATACAGGCAATTGGACCCACTTTACCAAATTTCAACTGGGTTTTCCCAAAACAGGAAGAAAAACTAACTTCATTTCAGGCGTGAGGTCTTCAGTTTCTTAATATTTGACCATCCAGAGGAAACCCAAAAGAGGTCTAAAAAGACGGCTTTCATATAAGCCATAACTGTTTATGGTTAGTAATTTGCACTCTGAAATTGTCAAGGATTCTGCAATACTTTTCATTATTTCTTCTTCTTTAAATCTTGTCTTTCCTTTCTCATCCTCAAGTCTTTCTTTTCTATCCTTATTTCTATTCATTACTTACACCAGTCCCATCTCCAATAACTCCTCTTTATTATTACAAACCTCTATTTTCATATTCTTTGGCACCAGAAATGAAATTTTCAAAATTGGGGGAAATGAGAAGAAAACACTCTTCTCAATGCTTCCTTTCCACGGGCTCTCACCTCACGTGTGTTCTCAAGTGCGCGTGTACATGTACACACACACACATACGCGCTGCCTACTTCATGGAGAAGACTTCATGCTGCACTCACTTGACACCTGAAACACCCAATCACAAAAACAGATCTCCAAATCCCACCCACTTTTCAAACTCTTACCTCAGTCTCCCAAAATGCCATGGAGACTATCCCAAGAGAGCAGTGGTCGCTCCTGTATTCTCTAGCATGCTCATAATCTGCATGATACACATCTTCAATATGATACATATAATTACTTAGAATACTAACACCAAACAAGCTGGAGTTCATTTATCAGCAGTGTGATTTTAAGGAAGTCACTTTTCTAAGCCTCAGTTTTCTCAGCTGTAAAAACGGGGACAGTAAGAGCCCAGCACCCTTGCTCACGGGGTTGTTAGGAGGACTAGAAGAGGTAATTTTTGCAAAGTGCCAAGTGCAGAACAAATACTCAAAAGATACTAGCTATCTTTATGTTGTCAACCGCCATCCTCTAGCTTCTTGCATATACCTTAGGAGCCCAGCCAGATTCTAGGCTCTTGAGGACAGAGATTACATCTTACAGATGTTTAATAACTACATCTTTATGACTAAATGGCACAAGAAGTTCTAAATAATAAGGCAAAGGGGACAATTATAGCAGGCTAATGGACAGAACTAGTCTAGGGTTAGGAAACAGTAACTTTGCTACATACTTAGAGAATGCCTCATTATGGGCCAGGTGTTACTTAGTAGGTTATGGTAATTTGCATGGGAGACCGTGAATACCTCACCCCAGAAAGTACCTAAATTTACCTAATAAATACAGAAGCTGTACATTAATAGCTGGCCTGTGCAACCACCAGGAATTCTTCCTCCCCGGCCAGGCATCTCACAGAAAGGATCACCCACGGGTTATGTCAGGAGGAGGGGAGCTCTCACAGCAGATCTTGAGGTAGGAAGTAAATACTTTCAGGGGATACTATAAAATAAATAAGCTTAATCTATCCAGGTAACTTAAGTATTTATGAGATGTCCCTGCCTATCATTCACCTCAAAATTGTAAGACAATTTCCAAGGTATTCCTTAGTTCACTGCTAAGGCAGGCAAAGATTTAAAGAAGTTGAGCTAGAAGTTGAAAGAGCTGGGTTTGCCCCAGATGTGTCATTATGTAAATTTACAAGCAGGGAGATGAGCAAAGTGTGTCTTAAGCAACATACAGATGCTTTAATACGCCATCTCCCAGTTCTCTACTTCATGCAACTATCAATTTAAGAAAAATCCTTATTTGTTAACTTTCATGAAAGATAAACAAGAATGCCTTGTAACCATGAAAAAGCACCGTTTCTTCCCTAGAACATAGGACCATTCAGAGGTCTATTTTTTTTTAATCTTTACAAAGTAAGGCTGTGGAACAGCTATATCAAAAGTCCTAGCAACTGAAGACCTGTAAAATTATGATGGAATTTCATCAGGGGAATTATTTCATCCATTCATTCAAAAATACTTACTAAGCACCTAAAGCTCAGGCAGTTCTAGTTGCTCAGCAAACAAGAGACAAAAATACCTTTAAAAGCAAGTTCAAATTCTAGTCAGGGGTAACACTGGTAAACAAATGAACAAATGATTATGAAATACGTGGAATGATGCTGTGTTCTAGAGAAAAGTACAGCAGGAGAAGGAGAGTAAAAGTGAAGAAACAGACTTCTAATCTTATACTGGGGGGTTCAGGGAATGCTTCACTGAGGAAGTAGCATTAAAAGATGAGAAACAGTTTATGTCAGTATCTGGTGATGGGGTTTTCCAAGCAAAGAAAACAACGTGCAATAGTCCTGAAGCAGGAGCTAGATTTTATGCAGATACTCTAAAAGGAAAAAAAAAAATTTAAACACCTACGTTGGAATCCTAGCTCTGTGCCCTTTACAGGCTCAGTAACCTTTACGAAAAAAAAAACATTACCCGTGTTGAACCTCAGTTTCTTCCTCTGTAATTTAGTACCAAGTAACTCACAGTTATTTCAAGGGGAAAAAAAGATGTTTAAGAACGCAGTATACAGCACTAAGGGATTATTCCCAAGTGTGTGTCCTGAGGGCTGTGGGAAAATCTAATCAAGGCTCTACAGGTTTCAAAGCTAAGCCCTAAATAAATGACCAAGCTTGTTTCCTCGTCTGTCAAAATGAGGAGAATGGCATGTATCTCACCAGGCATTGTGGGGAATTCAATGAATGCGATAATCCACGTAAATACAGCAACTGACAGATAAATTCCTCCTGAGATGAAAAATCAACATTACTCTCTACAGGGGCTCCCCTGCAAGCGGGCAGGGTTCTGCTGCCCGACTCAGATCACATGCCCAGTATGAAGCTCTCTGAAGCCACTCCGCAGGCCTTTGTGGAAGTGACTGTGAAGTCCGGACACTTCAGCGGACTCTGAAGTGCTTTTCCCCCTTCCACACTCTACCGCGATGTTCTAGCTTCTAAGAAACCAGCTTCACTCTCTGGATCCTTTCCAACATACGCATGTCCCATTTCTAAAGGGCTTGAAATTAAACTACCACCAAAAGGGTCTTCTATGGGGTTAGCGACATCCCTCACCAGCCCTCACCTTCTTAGAGCCGCGTCACTTCACTAGCCTTTGGCGCCAGACGCCCTCCTTTTATATGGACGTGATGACGTCACGTCGCATCGCGCTTGCGCAAAGGTGGTGGCGTGTCCAAGCCCAGGTCTGCGCAGCCGCCGGCGCCTTCCCGGAAGAGGTCCGGACCGAGTTGGGCGAGAGAAGTTCGACAGCAGGACGGCCCGCGGGTGAGTGCCCTGAGTGTCTGAGCGTCGGCGCGCCTGTGAGGGGCAAGCTGTTAAGGGGGGTGGGGGGGTGGGAGGGGTGATGAGGAAAGTTCCCGAGTCCTCTCAGTGTGAGTGGGGGTTGGAGTGGTCCGTGGGCTGATGCCTCCGAGAAGATGCAGATCTTCGATTCAAAAGGCAGACTTTGTCTTGGGGTTTGTCTGAAGTGCTGATGGCGGCCGCAGCAGAAGAGAAGTTACCATGGACTAACTTTCCGGGACTTCCTTGACGCTGCATTGGAAACTAGGAGGAAGGCGGCGAGGATTGGCCTGCAGTGACTTCGGGGGAAACTGTCTGTAATTCGACCCCTTCCGGGCGAGCCTGCGAGCGATTGCTGTCCGCGGTGCTGAAAACAGAGAGGCGCCTTGAGGAGGAAACCCGTTGAGGGCAGGGCGGTGTTTCCCTTTCTCTTGGCTGCACTCAGTGTCCTACAGTGTGTGCGTGCTGAAGGAAAGGCTCAGGGGAAAAAAATTTTTTTTAATCAGTGCTAGACACTCAGGAGATGTTAATCAGTATTAATGTCATAATTTAGGAAAGCCAGTGCTTCATTCCAAGAAGGAATTTTCAGCCCTGTTTTTTATTATAACAGCTCAAGTTGCAGTCTCCCTTTGGGCAGGCACCTTCAGCTCTTGTATCCAACCAGATGATTTGCCTTCAGACTCACAGCCTTCAGAGTAGTTCTCTAGATCTCTGTCTGTACTGGCCCAGGCACTTCATCCAAGGTGAGCTTGCTCTTGGTGTAAAGCGTTTTGTGAAAATGGATTTTCCTAAACTCCCCACATCAGAGTCCAGAGCAGCCCAGGTAAAGTGAAAGGACCTAATTGTGCTTTTCTCCTTGGTTAGGAATGAAAATACTTCCCTATTTGGAAGAGAGATGGTGAACTGGGCAGTCTTCCAGTAAAGAAAAGACTATGAATTTCCAGTTGGTTCTCATACTTGTTTACCTTTATGTCTGTGTGTGTGAGGGATGGTATTCCTGTGTTAAATTTTACAGAGTAGATTTTCTTTTCTGTCTGTTGATTCAATAAAATGTTTACTAGTGTTAGTACCAGCTGCTTGTTTGTTTTGAATTCTGATGAAGGTTAAAGTGTGGGGAGAAAAGAGGGGAAAATGTGAAATATGTTTTTACCTGTATCATAATGTTCTGGGATCCATCTGGCATATGGAAAACTGCGCTGTGAGTAAAAATCTTTTTAAATGCATTCTTCTATACATTATTACAGCTCAAGTTGTACTCAACCAATGGGTTAAGGTGCTGAAATGATCAAATGTTGCAAAGCTGAGGACATGTGGTAGAAGTAACTTTAAACGTTCTCATTATTTAGCAAAAAGCTTGTAAGGGCAGCTTTGATTAAAGATGACGTCTCTGTTCACTCAAGAAATTCACCTTTCTAAAAGACATGATGAAATGTAAGTTTTTGTTTTTTTAAGGCTAATCTCAATGTACAAATTGTACTGGCTTTATTAGTGAAACTGAGTTCACAGGAACGTGAACTAAAAGTGTGTCATTTTAATCATGACACTTGAGAGATTTTATGATTTTAGGATCAATTTAGAGATTGATGTTAGGGAATGTTATTGTCGAGAATAACAAAAATTAAAAGGTATAATTATGTTTTATGTCTTTTTACTTTTTGTTACTAATATCTAGACAAATTCATTCTTCCTCTTGCCCTTTCCAGGCTCCACACTGGTATTGAACGAACTTCTCTAAGCCTCTTTATCGAGCTGGCTTTCATGGGTCCATGACCTGTGCAATCACAGGCCCTGTACTTGCAGGGCTCTGATGTCGCCGTCCTGAAATTCCCAGTACATTTTTAACATGGCCCCCACATTTTCATTTTGCACTGAGCCCTCCTCCTCAAACCTCTGTCTGTGGGCTCGCATGTTTTCTTTTAATTAATTACCAGGCCCTCTTCTGTGGCCTTCTAAGATACTTTTCTTACAAAAATGACTGTTCAGAGACCTAGGTTTTTAGTCCTACCCTCAAGAACAGTCCTATACAATCTAGTATTTCTTGAGAATCTCAACTATTTGGGAAACGGTTAGACAGGTGTGTGTACCATTTGTGTATTTTTTTTCTCATCTGATCACTTAATAGGACCAAAAACTTGTAAAATAAGCATTTAACCTGTGAGAAGCTTTTGAAGTATAGTATATGTAGCAAAGCACTTTGATAATTACAACTTTGTACATTTTCCTTAAATTACTGTCTTACCTTGTGAGTATGCATGTATATACACAGCCTCTCACTCATATATGGAACCATCATCTTTCTCTTGGAAAAAGAGGGAAAAAATATTTTTATTGCTTCTTCAAACATATGGAAGTTTAGCACAATTCTAAATGTGTAACATAAGATTCAGGGGTATTGAAGTGTTAAGCAGAAGGTTCCGTATAGCAAGTTATATCAATGTATGTGTGTGGGGAGGTATATATAAGTATGTGTGCAAAGGGATATGTATTACAGCTTGCATTTTCACTAGAAAATTTTTAACACTAATTTCAAAAGACCAGAGAAGTTTAAAAACAAAAACAAAAACAAAAACAAGCATGTACTTAACAGCGTATGTTAATGAAAATAAAAATAAAAATAAAAATAATTTTACCCAGACTTCAGACTTACTGAATGACCTAAGTTTTTCACTGTCTTATTAATTGACATAGTAATTTCACTAGCCTATTAAATTGACATAGTAGTTGGATCTCAAAATAGGTTGAATTGAAGTGAGGTGCAATTAAGAAATGAATTCTTTGCATTGGTCAAGAATAAAATGCTTCCTTTTTTAAAAACTGTATATAATCTTCATTTTTTTCCTAGAGTATCACAAAGATTAATATTACTGCAACAAATGGAGGATAAACTTGGAGGTCAAAATAAGGAAAAGGCATCTCAGATGCAAGCAGCTGAGACTGCTTTTAAAAGGAACCTTAGTCTTTTAAAGGTAAGATTCTCTGACTTAAGCATAGCAGTTTTTTCCCACTTTTGCCAAAAAGATTAAGTGAATTTTTCATAACTTTGATATTTATATGATTTCTTTGTTATGAGTAACAAATAGAATTAATGGCTCACTATCTGTTTTTTAAACACGTTAGCTGGATAAGAAGCATATGGATTCTCGTTTTTTAAAGTGAAAAATCTTGAAGTTTCCTTAGGCTACATGATTTTCATTAGCCAGAAAAATCAATGACTACAGGGGGAATTTTAAGGTCACCTTTGTGCAAGAAGTAACAAATACAAGATACAGCTCCCATCTTCCATCTTTTACTTGTAGGAAGATCCTGAAACATTGTAAAGTACCTAGAATGTATTTAGAACAATTTGGTGTTGCCCTACTGGGGCCACAGTCAACACACAGAATTCATATCTAAGATAACAGATTTCCCAGATCTTCTCTGATGGTGATGGAGGAGGTGGTCAAAGTATGTGATTGCGCAGGGCCTCGCCATTTGGCCAGTGTGCCCATTTGGAGTAAAATCATATGTGTAACATTTTTGGCTGCTTGCTATACTCTGCTTCCAGAATTGTATGGCTTCATCCATAATTAAAACCCTAAAGTTTGCTTCCATTCAAGCTTCCAAGAGATCCTATGACTAAAACATTTGGTAGTGAGGCTATATTATTTAAGTTATAAAGCAGTGTTTTCAGTTTTTTATTGTTAAATATTTTCATCGATAGGCATGATGTAGTTATCTTCTGTCCTCACTGGAGGATAAAGGGAGAGGGAAAATTCAGTTATCTTCTCAGTTTCTGGCAGTTTGATCCACAGTAATTTAAGTCACAGCCATAGTGCTACCAAAGCATTCTATATTGCCATATGTCTTACTTGCCCAATGGTGTTTGCAATATTTATTTTTAAATGGAAATATATAGGATAATCTAGAATTTGCTGTGAAAAGTCAGAAAAACTAAATTAGAAGTCTTGAAGGCTTGATTGCTCCTTACCTACAGCAAGTGCAGGTGACATTAAGTGTCTTTCTTTTAAAGAGCAAGTATTTGATGAGGGTCCAGGGGGTCCTTACTGTTGAGCAAGTTCTGGACAGAAAGTGGGGATAACCAAGTACGTACAAATTAGGGTCTAGAGCAAGTAGCTTACAGGCTTAGTTGATGACATAAGGTTGTCACACACAAGATAGAGACCATGGATGATCAAACATTAATTATGTGGAGGAATAAGTGTAAAACCTCTTTGAGAGCTAGAATATTCTATGAGGTCTCAGAGAGGAAGCTAAGCTGGAGTTGTGTTTCAGTAGGCAGAAGGAAAACCATTCTGTTGGATTCTTACAGAAGAGCCAAGACCAGAAGAATAAATGGCTTTACTACTGTTGATGAGACCCTGAGCTAACTAGCTTGGAAAGTCACAGGAAACAAGGTTGAATGTGTATTGTGAGACCAGTTAAAGAAGTTGAGACTTGATATGGAGAGCTAATACAGTACTGAAAGCAAGCAAAAAAAAAAAAAAAAGAGAGAGACTCATGTAAGAAACATATGAGTGGGTCTTTAAGAAAGATTCATCTGCTGTTTAGATGCAAAGTGATTTTAAGAATGATGAGATCGGATAAGTAGGGTAGCTAAGAAATCACGATCATATCCAGAAGGAAGATAACGATATAGACTCCCTGTAAAAAACTTGAAAGAGCAAAGATGAGAAAGCGTATCTCCCATATCATCCTGCCCATCTAGAAATTAGTATATTTTTGTATATTTCCTTTGTCTTTTTCTAAACATTTTTTAAGCCTCTGTTACATGCCAGATGCATGCTTGCTATTAGAGATGCGGTTTTTTTCCCTTTTTTTTAAAAACATACTTGAAATAATTGGATATGCAGGCTTTTTGTCCTTTCCTTCACATTATTTTTTTTTAGACTCTGAATATAATTTTAGTGGCTCTACCATAGAAGTTATTGTGAAAGTAAAATAAATAGGACTTGAGTACAGAATTTGAGTTGGGAAAGCCTTTTAAAAGCATATAGATTAGATTCTCATCTAGAGGTTTTCTTTTTTTTTTTTCCCCTAGCACAAAAACTTTTTCCAAAGATGTAAAATAGATAAAAGTGGACCTGCTTTAGCCCAAAGCCCTGTCCATTCAGCACTTCCTTCTTGCACTGCTGTGGCTCTAAGGAACTGTGCAAACCACGGATCTGGGCTAATCACTTACTTTAAAGATAAGGAAACCATAAGGTAATGACTCCTAATACCCCTTGTCAAGAACAGGTTGAGTTCTGTCAGGATAGGTACTTCAGCACAGAGTGCACTTTAAAGCGGTGCTGTTAAAACTTGGAGGCATTTCTATAAAGATAGTAACAGACTAAGGATGACCTATGCCCGTCCCTTATTTCACCTTACTCACATGTTCCGAACAGTACAGTACGATGGCGTAACAAACACGAAAAGGGCACGAGCTTTAACTTTTGGAAAGAAAGATCATACAACATCTTTCAATGATACGGTTTTACACTTAGAGAAGCCAAAGGTGTTTTAAAACTAGCATATTATGACTTAAGTACAATTCACGGAGAAAACATAAACATACAGAAGTCAACAGCAATCCTGTATATACAGCTGGAAAATGGCGATCACATTCCCATTCGCAAGAGAATTAGAAAACACTTACTTGGGGGGTTGTCTTAACGCTCCGAACGAGGGACTTGCATGCCAGGTATACAGTCAGTTATACTGTACTTTAGTGGGAGATAGAAGAGAAAAGTTAAGTAGAGACGTACGCCTTAATCCTGACTGGGGAGACCATTATCTTTCTAAGTCAGTTGTCACAAAGCCATCTTTCAGTTTAATAAAATCCCAACAAGCAATTTCTCTAACTGCATTTGAAAAAATAAATTAACACAAAATATTGAAGAATTATTTCAAAAGACACTAATCCCATCAAAGAGTCCAACATATTAATAAAAGAATGACCATGAGTAGAAACAGTGAAGAAAACTCACAGTGAGGGTTCAGTCAGTAAATACCATAGAAGACAGTGGGCTTGGGAAGCAGGCTCAGTGGGTTTTCCTGTTAGTATTCAGACAGTGAAACTTACCTCCCTTTTAAAAACAGAAACATGGTGGATTTCTGAGACACAGGAGATTTTATTTCTACTAGGACTTCCATGGTACAGACTATCATCACTCCCACCTTTCCCTCCACAAAATTTAATTTATCCCAAAGAGGCAATTTTTTGGTAACAAATGTCATCTTGTGTGGACGAACGATTGCAGGTACAGCAAGCGCTTCCCTCAGGAACACCCTGGAAGCCTCCATGGGGCAGCTGGCAGTTCGAGCATTCAACCAACTGCCACCCAGCATGGCCAGGGACCTCCCGGCCCTTCTCTCGCCTCCTCACACGTCTCCCTTGCTCCAGTTCATAAGTTTAACAAAAGCCTACTTGTTCCTTGTACCAGCGATCCTGCACCTCACGCTTCAGGATGTTATTCTTGCTACCTCCAGCAGATTAAAAGATTAAACCCAGCCCGCCAGAGCTGGGTTGGAGGGAGTGGTGTAGGTAGACAGAAGGAAAGAGAGCGATCTTTTTGTGCTCATGGTTTACTTTTCCTAGAAAACTCATTTATATAGGCTCCTGAATCATACCATAGAGTAACATCCACAACGGCAGCATGCTTTTTAAATGTTATGAAAATTTTCACACCTACGTAAAAGAGGGCAGAGAAGGATGCACTTCCGTGCGCTTATCACCCAGATTCAATCATTCTCAGGTCACAGCCCATCATGTTTTAGCTATACTCCTCACCTCCCCCCCGCTTCAGATCATTTTGAAGCTAATCCTCAGATGCTGCTTTGTTTCGCCTGTATTTCAGTATGTCTCTTTCCATACACCAGTGTTCATCACCAAAAGATAAATACTATTTTAAGCAGAATCAAAATATCAGTATCAACTTAAGAAATGAACAATAAATCCTCAAATATCCAATCAGGTTCCAAATAAAATCCAATTTGTAATTGATGGATAGGTCTCCTAAATTTCCCCGCCCCACCCTTTTTCCCCTCCTTTAAATATATCTGTTGAAGGAATTGGGTCATTTGCCCTGTAGAGTTCCTGGATATGGCTGAGCCATCACTGCATTGTCTACAGGGTGTTCCTCTGTTCCCCTAATTCCTATAATTGATAGTTTTAAGCTGTGCTGTGCACCAGAAATGTAATTCAAGCCACATATGTCATTTTAAATTCTCTAGTAATCACTTTTAGTAATATCAAAATAAACAGGTTACTTAAAATGTTATTAAAATTTCAAACACAGTTCAAATGTAAATATTATAAAAAGTCAGTCAATATTTTTGATCCTTTTTTTCTTACTAACTCTTCAAAATTCAGTGTGTATTTTACACTTACAGCACATCTTAATTCAGACTCATACATTTCAAGCACTCAGAAGCCACATGAAGCTAAGGGATACTGCATTAACAGTGCAAACTACAGAGGCCTGATCAGACTGAGGTTCCGAGGTGTAGGGGAAGAATGCTTCCAGAATGCCCGGCTGTCTCTCTTTTTTGGAATGTTAGCTGTCACTGATGATCACTGCCTAAGCTTATTCACTAGGGGTTGCAGAAACTAACATTCAGATTATTTTATTCCTTCTTCTTCAATTGCTGATTATTTATATTAAGAGAAATGTCCCTTCGTCAGTTATTTGGTTACAATGAGGTGTATTTCACATAGAAAAAAGCATGGTGAGTGCTTGATTCTCTATTTAATTTTCAAAATAATAGGTTGGTTCTCTGGTATCCTCTAAAAGTGACTGATTAGGTGTTGCTGGTTTGGGTTTTCTTTTTCTTTTTTTTCCTAAGATGTCTGGGATTTTAAATGTTTCAATCCATTTAAATTTTTATTCCTGTTTATTTTCAAATTGTCCCATTTTTGCCAAGTGGGAGCCTCTTCAGGTTAGCTCCTGAATGCTTCTGACTGATCATAAGAGTCGGAGAGCTTCCTTTCTTTCTGGTCTGGTGAAATCTTCCGGGCTCATCATGTGCATGTGCTGCTCAGACCTGGAATTGGCTGTTGTTCCAGGGAGCCCTGGATCCTTTTGGTAGGAAATATGTTTAGAGCCCTCAATCTGGGCACTCATGGTGTTCATTGCAACATTTTTTTTCTTAAAGATAAAATACATCTTTTAAAGATAAAATACAAAATAAAGAGCTCATGTCAGAAATTCCCAAATTCCAATTTGTAAGACTTTTAACTTAGAATCATGGATCCTATACCTCTCACTTTTTTGTCAAACCAAAAATCTGTTCCTCAAGAATTTTCCACGACCAACATAACTTACTTACTTTATCCTGTGATACAGACACAGTATCTGAGCACAGAGAAAGATTTGGTCTCACCACCAATATGACTGCTGACTGGTTTCTGGTCAGATACTTTTTACCACCCTTTTTGTTCCCCAGTGTACCTCACTGGGGATGCTCAGTCAAATTACTGTGCTCTAAGGCCGCCTGATGTGCAATAATTATTCTCCGTGTGGTTACACCACTGACTAGATAGCAGTTCAGTTTGTTTCATTTTATTTTTAAATTGTAAGGACTGCTTTGTCATTTGTTCTATAAATGTATAAAATTTTAAATGGTCTCGTGACGAATCTATAAAACAGGACAAAGCATAGCCAGGTAAAGCTGGCCAACTAGACTTCCTTCCTCTCATCTCTTTTCCTTTTCCCTGCCTACCACCCCTGTTTTGTTTTGTTTTGTTTTTTAAGTTTTTGGTTTATACTCAGGAAACTTTGACACCTCAGCCTTTATTTAATGAATATTTAAGTACCTAGTACATACCCTGCACTTTGTTAGATGCTCAGATGCTTAAAGGCTGTATGAAACATAGTATTTACCTTCAGGGCAGCACATAGTTAAAGAGAAGGCTCTTAAATCCAAACGTTAGGATATAACCTGCTACAGAAGGCTGTGGTGAATTTGCCAACATTTTGAGTCAGGCCAAGGAATTCATGCTTGATCTTCTGTATTGTGGGTACCAATTTTTTTTTCAATCTAGGGGAGGACATATTTAAAGTAGTTCTTAGCAAAACTAATCAATTCCATGTTACATATGAATTCAAGTAAAATAAGATACAATCTAGGCATGAGTATAAGTGTTAAGTATTTGTTGAATGACTAAGTGTGATACTACGGCCATAGCCTAGGGAATAACAGGGAAAGACTAGAAATTCATCCTGAAGGAACAATATATGGAGCTTTGAATTTTTAAACGGCAGAAATAGTAAGAGTTGGAGAGAGTGAATACAACACGGTTATCTAAGTGAATTCATTCCCCTCTCTGATATACTCAACACATTCAGTGGGAAAAGAAGAATTTAGTTTTATCAGGTTGAGAAACAAGGGCTGGAAGAAAAGTTAGCCATCCCTCTACAGTAAGAACTGAAGCTAGTTAAGAGACAATCTCGGAGGGAGAGAAAGTAAAAAGATGGGGACAGATGTCACAAATCTTAAGAAAGCCCACACTTCAGATTAACAGGAGAAGAAGGAGCCAGCCAAGGAGAAGGAAGTAGGAGTCAGAGAGGTAAGTTAAACTAAGGAGGAAGTTCCCTGGAGGGGTGATAACCCTTTGTGGAAGTGCTGCAAAGATGACAGTCAGGTCATTCACCAGAGACCTGCTGTGACAGGCCACACCTCCCTCCTGTCTGCTCTCACGGTTACAAAGCTGCTCTTCTGTAAGAGATACTCAGTGTCCTTATTTTCTGATCTTTAAGAAAAATGTCTCATCTTGCTGATTGGTGCTGGTGGAGCCTAGAGCTACCGGTAAGGAGAACTTCACAACTGTTCTTAGAGTAACGGTAAAATTGGGGTTAGGATTTTTATTCTGTTTGATTTGTGAAAATAAAAAGTGATTCTTCCGGGTCCTGGTAAAATCTCAGCGTAATCGGAAGAGTTGGGTCTCACGTATCTGTCGTATCATTTGCATCAAAAGTGCTTTAGCGTGTGTCTTGACCGTGAACTTCTGGTATGGGATAGACGTGCTACTAGACAGGATTTTTACATCCCCAAATAGTTGTTTTTCCCCTTCAAGTCACCTTCTTCGAGACAGCAGGTGCATTAATGGTTGGGCAACTTCGGGGAGTCCCTTTGGGGAATTTCCTGTTTTTCCCTTTTCCATTTCACACCCATTCCCTGCTCCCGCCGCTGCCATCTGCTATCTCTTTTCTCCTGTTCAGCGTTGGCTTCTTCACACCCCACTCCCACGCCCTTTTCCATCGCTCTCCGTCTGTCCAACAGCCCTGTACTTAGACTGCTCCAGTGCTTGTACAGGGACCAGAGAACTTCCTCTTTCCTATCAACTCACGCAGCTCAAAGCAGAGGAAATCTACACGGCCTTCAGCCAACGCCCCTGTGAACCTGACAAACACCAGGAAGTACAGGACAACGCAGGTGCTGACCTGGGGAGTGTCTGTTAAACAGGGCTCGAATGTTTCTGTGACAACATGCCAAGTCCTACATTTCTGGACGTGCACTTTATGTTCAGATCTAGGTAAAATCTTAACCAGGGTATGAATTAACCTTAAATACTCTTGTGTTTGAACAACCCTAAGAGCAAATACAGACATCTTCAAGTCCAACTACGAAGTCATGCCTGGTGCTTGAATGCCATCAACTGAATGAATTACTACCTAGCAATAAAACTTGCCTTTGAGATTAGCTTAGAAATCTAGTACTAAAAATCTAGACAGTATTATAGAAAGGCTTTTGTTGCAGAGAACTGAGGTACCTCATTGTGTCATTAATATACCACTTGGAATGATGTGGACAGACTAGAACCCTTCACTTTTCAGGTTAGCATAGTGTGGGTCTGAGTATCTGATTGTTTTGAGTATCTGAATATTTGACTATTTTATCCATCTGGCTGTTTTTTAATGATTTTTAAAGCTAACGTGGTATTCCGAGCAGTTTTAGAGGAAGTTCTTTTTCCAAGAATTATTGGCATTTACTAACTACTTAAAATGAAGGAGGCAGAACTTAGAAGTACCACCCCCAGCCCCTGCCTTTTATTTTACAATATGAAACCCTGCATTCTGTATTTGAAACTGGTTAATTAAGCAATGATCAGTTCTCCGTCAGTGCCCCTCCATCAGTTCCAACTGTGTATCCAGAGGAGAGTTTAAGGGTATAGATATTGCAATTACAGGTGCCACTGGTGCGTGTCATGTAAATACATTTTGTTCTGAAAATGCTGTTATCTGTTACAGGATATAGAAGCGGCAGAGAAGTCTCTTCAGACCCGGATTCACCCACTTCCACGGCCTGAGGTGGTTTCTCTTGAGGTGAGAATCTTAACGAACAAATGTAAGAGATCCTATTCTGTTCGTAGTGCATTGTAAATTAACTAGTGGTTGTGTGTGTATATTAGCCAGATTTATTCCTTCCATGAAATAAACTAGAAGTGTGTGTGTGATTGCTCTATGTCCAGCATGCCATGCTTTGTACGTACTATAGGTAATCCATAAGAATCTTGCTTTAAAAAGATTTCTGTCAAGTGCAAATGTTACCGAAATCCTGTGTCTTTTCACCTGATTACTTAGAAATAACTATCTTGTTAAATCACAACAGACAAGATGCACTCAGTCTTAAGACGACAGCATGCCTAACCAAAATGCTTTTCCTGATGGCTGATGTGAGAAATGGCACTTCAGTCTCTTCACCAAAAATGCAACCAACGCTGTTTAAATGCATATTATCGTGCAGTGTAGTGTGGCTTTTGTCTGTTTAATTTTGCTCAGTTGAAGAACAGGCTGGGAAGATGGTTGGCAAAAATAAACCATATTTGGTACGTGAGTGTATTTGTGCTGAAAGGGAAGTTGCTACATATAGAAGAGTTAGATTTCATATATTTAATGACCTTTTTTAAATACAGTTTGGCTGGCTGCCTAACCAGGGATGTGAACAGACTCAGAATTAAAGGCTGAGAATTGCCCTTCAATTTTCTGTGTCATCTAGACTAATAAGAAAAGGCAGTGATCAAGGACAGAAAAAAACTTCGGTACAAAGTTGTGCCTTGGGCATGTCTTTTTCTTTGTTGAATTCTCCAATACCTTCCTCTGGCCCGTACAGGGCCCACACAATAGGGGTTAATCCAGCCGTGAATGGCGGAGACACTGCCAACCACAGGCTTGGGTTGGTATTTTTCTTGGCTAGTCTTGCACAGCAGGCTGACCTTTATTTTAAGCATGTCGGGCTATTTCTCAGACCACATGCATAGATGCATAGATACAGAGACTCCCTCACCATCTTCAGCTTTCAGAACCCCCCTACCTTTTTAATGCTCAGAGGGAATAATCACGTGTCCCCAACGTGATCTCTTTGGCTGAACTTCCCAAAGAGAGATTGATAGTGACGATCTAATACAAAACGCCCTCCTATGCAGAGCTTTTGGCAGTTTCCTTTTCTTTGGCCTCCTTAGGGCACTCAACCTAGAAACCACCCAGGCTTGTAGACACGTTAGAGCACCGTGGTGTGAGCTGGTAGAGCATACAGACTGCCATGGTCAGGCCAGTAACACAGCATCTCAACTTCCGAGTTATCTGAATTAAAAATAATTGGATGATGTTGATATTATTTTCTCATTATACCAAAAAAAAAAGGTGGAGGGGAAAGAAGTTACCATATGCCCTATCAAGTGCTCTTCTGAAAGATACAGTGGATGCTTATTTTTAACGTGATTCCCCCCATACAATTAAGGGGTCGATTCACCTGAATCCAAAAACATCCTCTTTATACTCCACTTCCTGATCTCATCCCGGGTCAAATCTTTTTCTGTTCATTCTAAAACAGTTGTTCCTATTGTGTCATTTCATTGCGATAATTTTAGTATGGCTAATCATTTGCTATGGGATCGGGAACATGAAACAAAAACTCACCATGATGGTGTAGCCCCAAATAGTACGACGGGTAATAATCACAAGACTGGCCACAAGAGGGCGCGTAAAATCACAATAAAATTCTGAAACCTGTAATTCTGCCAGGCTCCGGTTTTACTGAGAAATTTGAAAATTAACACTAGTAAGTAGCCAGGTTTTTTTTTTTCTTCTAAAATTAACATAAAATATTCTGTAGAGGAAGTGCATTCTACGTATATGTGTGAGTGTGTGTACACGCACCCACACACTTAAGTGAATAAACATTTAGACTATTATGAAGAGCCAAGTTCAATTGCCTGATACGCTTTTTTACTTTTGGACGTTGTTTTTTTTTTTTTTCCAGACTCTTTACTGGGCATCAGTAGAAGAATATATTCCCAAATGGGAACAGTTTCTTTTAGGAAGAGCACCATATCCTATTGGTGTTGAGAATCAAAATGAAGCAGAAAATACCATTCAGAAGGAGGCGCAGCGATAGCTTCTTCACATACTATTTCAAAAAAAAAACAAAAACCTGTTCCGTAAAGCTGAGTGTTCAAGAACATGCAGGTCGCTTTAGGAATCGGATATGTTCACATTGTCTCATTACCCCCTCAACGACAATGAAAACTGGGAAATCTACTGGCAACTCGCAGGCTGTCACCTACTCTTTCAACATCAGGAAACTGCTTTCAGCCAAACCCACAGAAGTATTAAGAACTAGTATTGAAAGGTGGGCTCTGCTGATTAAATAAGTTGCTAAATGAGTGTTGTGTGATTTTTTTTTTTAATCACTTTCAGTCATTCTTATCTAAACAGTGAATACCAGTGGCTCTGATTTTACATTTTCTAGAATCTTGACCTTTCACTTGTTTTGTGCTGGGGACAAGGCACAGGAGCAAAGTGGTTGTATGTTCACCGTTATCATTTTTTTTTTTTAACAAATGAAAAGACAGTGACAATTAACTGCTTTAGTATAATAATATCGCTCAGAAAATAGATTCATAGGCTTTTGCCCCTCATAGGGAAGCGAACCTGTAAGAATTCTGGAAGAAAGAACTGAACTACGAAGCACTCAGTGAGTTCCCAGTTTTAGGAGAGCTCAGACTGGGTTCTCGAAAAGGACACCTATCAGAGCTGGTATTGGTTACTGGATTTCCACTTGGTTATTTAAAGACAGCCAGCCCTGTGAATACAAGTAACTCCTCTCTCATCTTTTCATCTTCAAATCTGCCCTTTCCTCTCCCTTCTGTTTTTGTTATTTCTCAAACTGTCAGAAAGCTTTGGGTCACAACCCTCAAGAGCTTCAAGACTTCCCAGCCCACCACTGCTGGACCACTCAAAAAAAATTTTTTTAATTTTCTAATTATAAAAGCATCTCCTGCTTAGTCAAGGGAGTCTACCTCACAATGAAAGATTTTCAATTTCAAACTGGTTTGTGATTTTCAAAGACGACAAGAGGACAAGCTACAAACAATAACAAAGTCCATTGTGCTGATAAGTTCCTTGAAACTATCGTCTTGGAAATACCCTGTTGAGTGGGTGTCGGTGTGGGTAACAATAACGTTGCTTTCATAATATGCACTGGCAGATCCACACACTTCTCTCCAGTGTTAACAGTTGTAATTAAGGAATAAACAGCACGGAGTGTCAGTCCGATGACAATTTCATCTATAGTGTCACAATACAAAATGTCACAAAATATTAGAACTGTTACACAACTATAAAAAGGATCGGCTTAAAAGCCGAAAGCCCTTTAAAAGGAAGACAGAGAAAGGAAGAAAAAAAAGAAAACTGGCAGAGAGACCAGAACAATTTTATACCTTCTCAAGAATGTTCTGTCACGAAAATAAATTGATATTTTTTTTCCCCCTGTTACATTGCAGTTTGGTTTCTAGCCATCCAGTTGATTTAGCAGGAGAATGCAGGGCTTTTTAGCAGCTTTGAATTGGTAAACAGATTTAGATGTAGTACAGAGAACATGAGGAAGTTTTTTCTTTTTTTTTTAACATCCAATCTTTCCCAGCATATGCACATAAGAAGGTGAATGAAGCAATGTGAAACTTATTTCTCTTTAGTCAAGTGGAAAAAAGGCTAAACATTTGTTGAGATGGTAAAATATTGTGTCAAGCAAGTAAGCACATTCCAAAATTAAACAGTGGTTGATACATGAACGTCCTCAAATATTTGAGCACACACTTCCTTTGAGTTCTGTAAATTAAATCACCAGTAGGTTAGATTAAAATACAGAATGAATAGCAACTTAACCATCTCAGGAAAGGTACAGGTTTCTGCTCCCCTAAATGGACTAACTCGCTAAATAGTTTTTAAAAAGGGCATAAGTTTAACGTACCCTGGGTTATGATTCAGAGCAGAAGGAAAGATATTTCTAGGCTTCAACAAGACCATTTCCCTCATTTCTAGTTAAACTCCCAGAGATGACTTTATCCCTGGCCCCCCCACCCCAGAGCTTTCCCCACTCCCCTCCTTGTAGACTGGAACAGATTGCACCGCATGGTATATGTTTAAAAAATTTTTTTCCAAAAGGGACCTGGATACCCCACAAAAGGACTTTATATTCCTCATGACAAATTAGCTTTACCTAGGAATTAGCAAATATTGTTTTCTGTAAAGAGGGGAGAAATACCACATATCTCATGTATATTTTGTACACAATTAGTAGAAATCAGACAAGGAAAAAGAAATCTACCCATATACCTTTTCCTCCCTAATTCAGTGTCCTTACCATACATGACACTGCACCCACTGTTCTCTAGGAGAACTATGAATTTGGTTTTGTTTGTTTGTTTGTTTTTAGAATAATGGAGTTTTCAAAATAAAGGTTGTTCCAAGAATTTTTCACAGCCTTTCTTAGACTATTGCAAGTGCGTCTAAGATTTAAAACCCATTTTCAGCTGAAACATTTCTAGTATATGACATTATTAAACCATAAAATGCTACAGATCAGAAGGAGCTGCAGTTTTTCTTCAAATTTCCAAAAATTAATTTTACTAGATACTGAGGAAAAAAAACCTAATGCTCTGGAAACCAGACATCTGGCCTTTTCCTGTGTCAGGGGAGCTGTGTGAATGGAAGTGATGTCAAAAGGGACAGGTTTCCTCTGCTCGATGTACAAGGTGTTTTAACTTGTTAGCTCAAGACCTAGATGAGAAATAAAATAATCTTTAATAGTCTTGACCCTTTTGACTTCTGCCTCATCCTCCCATTTCTATAAAAAAAAAAGAGAGAGAGAGAGAGAAAGAGAGAGAAGGTCTATTTATTTTTGAATCAAAATTAAACTTACTTGGAGATTATTTTGTCACTTCTGAGACAATTGGAGGCAGATCAGGAGTAGGAGGGGGTGTGTGAAAAACCAGGGTTTGCAATCACCAGTTTTAGACAGGAGGAAGATTATTAAGCTCTAAACCCACTGTAAGGTGGATTTTCCTGTATAAAATTTAATGCACAAGGTCATGAATTTGGCTTATCTACAAAATACATTCTTTTCCGTCTTTAGTCTATTGTCTTTCTATTCGAAGTCAATTCCCATCCTTCTATATTTTATTTTTACAAAAAGATTCATACTTAAAGCAATAACATTTTAAATCTCCCTAAAGAGTGTTTGTCCTCTTTCAAGAACTGCCCAAACATAATAGCTACATGGCTTAAAACACTCTTCATCTCAGTAGTCTATTTTGATCTCTTCCACTTTAATTAGGATACTAAGTTATCTCTTTTTCTCTTTTTTTTTTTAAAGAGCTGCTAACCAAACTCTATTCTTCAGAGAAGGTAATAACTAGATGGTGAATTCAAACAGTAAAATAAAGTCCGTTGAAAAATATGGAGAAGGGGGAGAGGAGAGAAATTAGTTTGAGAAAGCTTCAAGTCGGAACAAGGAAGCCTTTCTTCTTCCCCCCTCTCTCTCTCTGGTGATTGTTTTTTGTTTGTTTCTCATATAATTTAGAAGTTAATTTGTCTACATAGGAAATTTAATTCCCTACTGCTAATAAGAGAACATTTTGAGTTTTCTGGGACAAACATGGGGACATGTCAAACTTCAGCAATTAAGGAGAGGATTGATTCGTGGATTTGACACCTGGCATTGTGGTCTCCCTTTCAAACTGGAACTGAGATTATATCCTTACTAAAATCCAAGACAAGGAAAAAGAGTCCAACAAAGACAAGAGGCCAAAACATGCTTCCGGACATCATCCTACCTCTCAGAGTCAAGTTTCCTTGCTTGTGAGAGAAAGGACTGCGTCCCCTACCTTGTAATAATGTGTTCAAGTTCTCACTATTTTAAAAACTCTAATTTGTGTCTCAGACAAAGAGAGGGACTGAGACTCTGCTAAAGAGGAAAAATATTTGTATGACCACAGTATAAATCAATAAATAGTTGCACAGATGAAACGCTGAAGTGTTCTTATTTTAGAAAGTTGGGGTGATTTAATTTGTTTCATTTTGATAGTAACGGGGTCAAAATTCCAATGGCATTTTTCACAGACATAGAACAAACAATCCTGAAGTTTTTATGTAACCATAAAAGACACCAAATAGCCAAAGTAATCCTGAGAAAGAAGAACAAAGCCAGAAGCATCACGCCTCCTGATTTCAAACTATATTACAAAGTCAAAGTAATAAAACAGCATAGTACTGGCATAAAAATAAACTTATTGACCAATAAGACAAAGTCAAGAGTCCAGAAATAAATCCCCACATAGACAGTCAATCAATACGTGACAAAGGAGCCAAGAACACTCAATGGGGAAGGGAGGGTCTTTTCAACAAATAGTGTTGGGAAAACTGGATAACCACATGCAGAAAAATGAAATTGGACCTCAGTCCTACACTACTCACAGAATTAACTCAAAATGGATTAAAGGCCTAAACATAAGACCTGACAGGGTAAAACTCCTAAAAGAAACCATAAGGAAAAAGCTCCTTGACATTGGTCTTGGCAATGATTTTTGGATACACCAAAAGCACAAGCAACAAAAGCAAAAAAACAAGTAGGACTACATCAAACTAAAAAGCTTCTGCACAGCACAAACAACAATAAACAAAATGAAAAGGCAACCTATGGAACAGGAGAAAATATTTGTAGACCATGTAATGAATAAGAAGTGAATATCCAAAATATATAAAGAACTCATACAACTCAGTAACAACACCACCAACAACAAAAACAAGTAATCCAATTTAAAAAATGGGCAGAGGAACTGAATAGATATTTTTCCAAAGAAAATATTCAAATGGCCAACAAGTACACATCTCAACATCACTAGTCAACTGAGAATCAAAACCAAAAATGTCAC